TGGCCGCAACATCATTTAGACTGGGGGTTGTCCCGGGACACCGATTTATACAAGTCACTGACTAAAAAGGCTCCAGTGGACATGAAAGACTTGATGACCCGGATCAACAAATATGTCCGAGTGGAGGAAGAATCCAGCACGCCCGAGAACAGATTCTCGACACCGAGAAAAAGAGAGAAGGAACAACTGGCCCGAAGGGGAGGACTCGTTCCCCCCTCCCCCAAATCGTCTATCCTTTCAGGGGGTGAACACAGTCTTTACAAGATGCTTTATAAGATAAAAAACAAATCCTACTTCAAGTGGGCCCCCAGGATGCTAGGAGATCCATCAACGAGGAATTCGGCTTCCCACTGTTCATATCACAGGATGTAGGCCATTGATAGAGGATTGCAGGGTGTATAAATCTTTCCTTGAACAGTTGGTATAAGATGGACATCTCAGGAAATTCATCGATAGAGGGGCCCCTGGAGGATTGGCGAGCAAAGGAGTCAAGGCGTCTGTTGAAGTGGTGCCCGTGATTGATGTCATACATGCCTGCATCGTGGAAAGACCGACATATAATTCCCTTTGTGCCAAGCTGCAGAAGGTCTCTCAAGTAGTTAGGGTAGAAGAGAGGGGTGAATCGCGACCCCCCCCCCCAAAGAAGCCACAATGTAGCACCAAGGTTATTCAGTTTTCTGATGCCGACCTTGGCGGGATAATCCTCCCTCATAAGGATGCATTGGTGATCACTTTGATGGTTAACAAATTTGATGTCAACAGAATCTTGGTAGACTCGAACAGTTCTTCCGAGGTGATGTATGATCACCTCTTCCGCAAAATGGGGTTCTCACAAGAAGATCTGGAACCCGTAAAGACCCCTCTCATAGGCTTCAATGGTTCTAGCGCCCTCCTCCTTGGGAAGATCACCCTTATAGTGCATGCGGGGATTGTGACTATCCAAGTTGAGTTTGTAGTGATAGACTCCGACTCCCCATACAATGCTATTATGGGTAGGGCATAGTTGCATGCAATGAAGGCGATTCACTCATCCTATCACCAGAAGATCAAGTTCCCTACACTGCAAGGCATAATGAAAATTTGGGGTGATCATGCGTCGACGAAAAGTTGTTGCTATGCCACAGTAAAGACTGGAGTTAGCCGCCGAAGTCAGAAGCATGATCCTGAAGCTGTGGTTGCCAAATTGCAATCACAGTACGGTCGGCCAAGAGTGGATGAGCCCATTACGGAACTGGCCGACCGGTCTACCAAAGCCTTGGTCAAAGTTCTCCTAAGCCCAGATAACAATGAGAGATACTTTTTGATAAGGGAGTCACTCAACGATGCCGAGAAGATTGACATGGCCTCATTCCTACGCTAGAATTTTGATGTCTTTGCATGGACCTAGGCTGAGATGATAGGGATAAGAGCTGAGGTGATGACCCATCGGCTCCATGTGGACCCATAATTCAAACCCGCTAGGCAGAAGGCCCGGAGAACGGCGCCTCACCATGCGAAGGTCATAGATGAAGAGGTTGACAAGTTGTTGGGGGCCGGTTCCATCAAAGAAGTACAGTTTCCTCAATGGTTGTTCAACACGGTGTGCGCCAAGAAGAAAGAGGGAAAATGGCGAGTATGCGTGAATTTCACAGACTTGAACAAGGCTTGCCCCAAGGACTAGTACCCATTGCCTAAGGTTGATCAAATGGAGGATGCAACTGCCGGCCACAAGTGACTCACCTTTATGGATGCTCGGGTAAGGTATCACCAGATTCTCTTACATGAATCGGATCAGGAGAAAACGACGTTCATTACACCCCGAGGAATCTACTGTTATACAGTGATGCCCTTTAGGTTGAAAAATTTGGAGGCGACTTACTAACGTTTGATGAATAAAATTTTTAAAGAGCAACTCGGCAAAATTATGGAAGTGTATATTGATGATATGTTGGTTTAAAGCAAAGAGAACGTCGACCATCTTCATGATCTTGGGACAACGTTCACCATCCTCCGAAGGTGTGGCCTAAAGCTGAATGCCTCGAAATGCACTTTCGGGGTAAGCTCAGGAAAATTTTTGGGATATTTGGTCACTCACAAGAGTATTGAGGCAAACCCTGAGCAGATACAAGCAATACAGAACGTCCAGGGGCCTAGAACAACCAAGGATATCCAAAAATTGACTGGGAAGTTGGCAGCCCTTAACTGATTTATTTTCAAGTCTTCTAATAAGTCATTTTCTACTAAGTTGAAAGGGGAAGCTAAAGGAGTATGGGATGAGGAGTATGGCCAAGCTCTCGAAAGAATCAAGGAATACTTGAAATATCCTCCAACCTTATCCGTCCCGGCAGCTGAGGAGGTGCTTAACCTTTACTTGTCAGTAGAGCTGTGAGTGGGGCGCTGATTAGAGAATGTGAAGGAGCACAAACACACGTATACTTCGTGAGGAAGACTTTCCTCGACACCGAGACAAGGTACTCTCTAATAGAGAAATTGGTTCTGACATTAGTAGTCTCGACGAGAAAACTTCAACACTATTTTCAGGCTCATGCCATAGAAGTCCTGATAGATCGGACTCTCAAGCCAATCCTTCACAGAGCCGATATTTCAGAGAGGGCCGCCAAATGGGCCGTAAAGCTTAGGGAGTTCAAGATCAGGTACAAACCTCGCACTTCGATGAAAGGACAGATCCTAACAGACTTTATCGCCGAGTTCTCTACGTCCAANGCTCGTATTCTTCAACCTTCTTGATCGTCGCAGCTTCACCCGTCTTCGCCTTTTCCAACTGGGAATCAAGGGCGTCACATTGGCGGATGAGCTTGGTGATATGCCAGGTCTGGTAATCGAGGGTCTTCTCTACCTTGAGAATGTGCTCATCTTTGGCAGCCGTTGCTCACTCGGCGTCCCTCGCTGCCTGCTTGTACTCCCAGAAACACTCGATAAGGGCCCCCACCTGCTAGTTGGCCTGAAAATAAAAAGGACTGTCAAAAATGACCAATATGTAGCAAGGAACATTCGAGAAAGCGTCGCACTTACCACCAAGTTACTCTGGATGGTGCTCATCAGAAGCCAGTTGTCTGTATAGCCTTTATACACGGNCCACCAAGTTACTCTGGATGGTGCTCATCAGAAGCCAGTTGTTTGTATAGCCTTTATACACGGCCATGTCGGCTTCGAATTAGAAGTCCCCGCAACGGCAAGGGCCACATCAGGGGACTGGAGGATGGAGTCGACCTCCAAGATAGGACGGCCCCTTCTGGTTGTGGCCTGGGGGACCTATTCGACGGGACTCTAGGTGGCTCTACAGCCCCCAAACTGACACGTGAAAAGACGGAGCCGTTGTGATGTCCAAAAGGCACCGAGGAGGTAAGCCGAGAAATGGTGTTCCGGAGAAGCCGAGTACGACAACTGACACCACATTTAATACGATGTGACCTCTCATTTATGAGAGAATGAGTGATGGTGACAAGGCTATTAAATGTGCGCCTGTGAGCACCTGCACTCTGAAGGTCTAGGCCTACCATCATGATGGCTAGGCATCGATGGCTACTACGCCGAGTATATATGATTGGTCCTCTCCGAGGAACTATTCCACCGAGTATTCAATGCTTAATTGCGGGTGTCAGACGCTGATCTTAGGGATGTGGATACTTGGGGAAGGGCATAAATGTTCGACATGGCACCGAACACTCGTCCCATCACCCTAGCATTGAATAGGAGAAAGCTTGAGTGGAGAACACTCATTGCGCAGGGGGAACTGTGTCAGACATTAAATGTCCAATTGGGACTTGAGGTCTTTGACACTCATTGCTAATCTAGGTATAAATACTCCTCATAAAAATGAACAAAGATATGCAAGATTGAACCAGAAAAAAATTATTCATTGAGCTTGAACTTCGAATTTTGAGACTGACTTAAGTTTTAGAGGGGATAAGTCGAGTGTTCACCTGACTCTCTTTTTTCTGATCCTGTGACTGTTTCAAGTTCATTAGGTTGGAAGTCGTTATTTCAAACTATTGCAGGAATTATCTCGTGCAATTATTTCTGTTGAAATGTTCCTACTTTGAACTCCATTTGCCAGCCCATCTGTTTTTGTAAAAAATTGAAGACTTGCTTACCACTTACCTAANTGTTGAAATGTTCCTACTTTGAACTCCATTTGCCAGCCCATCTGTTTTTGTAAAAAATTCAAGACTTGCTTACCACTTACCTGAACACTATTAGTTTCTGATCAAGAAAGATTATGCAATATTGGACACGATCGGACCTAATCTTATTGATTTCTTAAATGTTCATATCACAGGGAAAAAGCAAAGAGAGTTGAATATTTTATTATGAAAAACATTAAGAGAACTTTAGAATAATTAAGAAAAAATCACTATATTATTGATCATAAATAAAGATTTATCGGCAATGACATGTCCATTGTCGCAATGACCCTAAAAGATTTTAGTTAAACAAATACCGATCACAATTTACTTGAATATGTTAGAACAATGCACCTATTCGAATGTAACATATCTTGACTTGGTCTTATGAAATCTTAATTTCGAGCTGCTTCTAAATCAAAATAAAAAAGANATTTTAGTTAAACAAATACCGATCACAATTTACTTGAATATGTTAGAACAATGCACTTATTCGAATGTAACATATCTTGACTTGGTCTTATGAAATCTTAATTTCGAGCTGCTTCTAAATCAAAAAAAGAAAAAAGAANGATCACAATTTACTTGAATATGTTAGAACAATGCACCTATTCGAATGTAACATATCTTGACTTGGTCTTATGAAATCTTAATTTCGAGCTGCTTCTAAATCAAAATAAAAAAGAAAAAAAAATCCATCTTTTGCCTAATCATCCCATCACAAAAGATAAAATATCATGTTTTAACGAAATTAATCTTAATTTTAGTAATAAACAGGAGCTAATAAAAACTTTAGAATTACTAATGTTACTTTACAAACATTGAGATCAACAAAGATAACATAGTAGAAAGGAATAATCATACTTTCCAATGGNGGAGCTAATAAAAACTTTAGAATTACTAATGTTACTTTACAAACATTGAGATCAACAAAGATAACATAGTAGAAAGGAATAATCATACGGGTTCGAGTCTCCTAACCCAATAACTAACATATGAAAATTCTCCGAAATTAAAACCATATTGCGACATATCTCTCTAAGTTAAAACTATTAATAAAATGTTCGATTCAGATGCGTAACAACATACAAAGTAAAAAAATTAAAACCAAATATTGTGACCCAAAAACCCATGAACTAAACAAATACTCCAAAACAAACTCCAACAGTTGTTTTATGGGATTAAACTTGTCACGAATGGTCTCAATGTTATCGAGAATTGCTAAGCTGTTGCTCATGTACCGCATCGTCTTCTGAGCTTTCGTTCTAGCTTCATTCGAAACCATCGCCTCGAACCGATAAAAACTCCGCCTGTGATCGGCCACTGCACCGCCGATCATCCTCCTCAAGTCGTTAATCTTCTCTTCGGTCAACGTTTTCTCTCCTTTGTCAACGTTTATTGATGCCAAAGACCTGTTCAGTTGACTCAGAGTGGCGTTGAAGCCAGTCATGCACTCGCGGATCGTTGACTCGGTTCTCGGATGTGTCGACTCGGAGATTTGGGTCTTGGGGAGTGAAATGAGGTTGGTGAGTTCTTGAATGGCCAATTGAAGAAAGAGAGTGAAGCTGAGTTCTGGGTGGGTCTGGATTGGAGTGGTGGTGGTGTTCTTTGTTATGGAGGAGAGCGTTTTGAAGCAGGAGTATCTGTACTGAGTCACTGAGCAGATGGCTCCGACTGACCCGTACGGATTGATCGGGTTGGAGATTTTTACAAATTGAGCAGTGGTTATTGCTCCGATTAACAGTGCTACGAGGATGATGAAAGAGAAGAAGACGATGATGATACGAGGCTCTTGGGGTTTAGTGAGTTTTGACGATTGGCCTTCGAGGAGGCTTACTTTGGTATTGGTAGAGTCCATCACTGGTTTGTGATCTTGAGGAGCTGTGAAGGGTTGGGTATGGGGGAGGGAGGAAAAGCGTAGAAAGAAATGAAGGGAAAGACTGAGGAAGGAGAGAGATTGGGCAAGGGGTCTTTGAATTCTCCGTCAATGGTGGGGACTTATTGACTAAACGGTTAATTGCATCGGTGGTCCTCAAAATTTGTGCTTCGTTTCATTTTAGTTATCAATATTAATCTTTGATGTATTAGTCCTTAACGTATTATAAGATTAGGGGAGCAAAATGAGATAGAGAATTTATTTTGAAAAAATTATTATCATAATTTTTGGTCAAATAGACCGTGATTTATCTAAAATACCCTTCATTTGAGAGCATGTCTAAAACACACAACCCACATGAGTGTGAACTATTAAAAATTCAATACACCAATGATTAATGTGATACAATTATAATATTAAGGACTAAAATGAAATAAAGTATAAATTTTGGAGATCATCGCTGTAATTAAGCCTTGACTAAAATAATGAGATGTTTTTAAAACTTAATTTTATAAATAAAAAATTTTGAAAATTTTATTTTACTCTCTGATCTTCCTCATTACTTCAAAAAAAAAAAGTTAATGACTTTAGGTAAAAAAATATCCAAGTTCGATTAAAAAAAAAGGGTACAAGATAATAATTATCCTCTGGGCAATTAGACATCTAACTTAGAATCGCATAAATCCAAGTGTGAGATCGGCAATTTAACTATAAATATTATTTTGTTTTCTAATAGATAAAAATAAGAGTAATATTATTGGGACCTATGCAATAGGGATAGAAAATAAAATATTTTCTTTTTCTCTTGATCCCTAAGTCTTCAACGTGATGTTGCAGGGTGCAATTGTTAAACTGTCGTTACTTTTTTTTTTTGCACTTTTTGTTTCTGTGGAAAGAAGATGACAAATGACAAAAGAATGGGTTAAAGACTTTTGGGAATCAACAATGCTTTTAGTTTATTGACTTTGTTTTGAGATTTAGCCTTATTTTATTTATATTTTTTTATTTCAATACCATGTATCCAACTTTTTTAACCTAATTAATTTTTTTTCCAAAGGTTTGACCTAATTAATTTTATTTTATCTAACTCATTAGGTGGATCTAATTAAAATTATTCAAAAAAATATATAAAACATATATAAGTAAAAAAAAAAAAATTCAGGGTAGGTCAGGCCACTGGAGCAAGTCTCAACCCATCCCCCCCCCCCCCAAAAAAAAAAAGAACAAACGATGATCTCTGATGGTGTATGATCACGTTGACGAGCAAAAAGTGCAGATGACGTATGATAAGCGTGGATCAGAGCTACAAGGGTCGTGTGTGATGATGGAACGAAATGCAAAGGAGATTGGAGGGGTACACACAGTGAAAATATAGTGGTTCACCGACTCAGGAGCTCGGCTAGTCTACTTTTTAATAGAGGCCCTTGCTCCCTCTCCTCTATTCACTACTCAAATGTATTACAATATCGTCTCTCCCGAAAACTAGGGTTCCCCCCTTTCCATGGAGGCGTTACATAACATTTATAGGACTATTTCCTATTTTGTAGGATCTCAGCCGAGATCTTCGTCTGCCATTAGTAGGACTCTCCTTGATTTTAGGAGAGAATCTTAATTGGTTGAGAGTTTCATGCTTGGAACCCAATTTTTGCAATTATCCAGTTGTTTCCTGGTCAGTTCCGCTATCATCTCCCTAGGGGGGAGCTCTGGCCTTGGACTTCTGAGTTCCTCATATACTACCAGACCTCATGACCTGACCTAGTTTCCTAAGCTCGCTCTTATAACTTATTTGAGGTATCATCAATCTCTATTTAAGGAGTATTCGAATGTGAAACCAATGCTCTTTGTATGTGCAAAGAACCCTGAAACTATGATCGATGTTCTCAAAGAGTGTCATAGTGCTTAAATATATTGGCAACAAGAAACTCTTAGGTGGTCCAGTGATTAAGCGTATCATTTTGTAAGTAAAAAGTTTCAAGTTTGATATTTTTTATATTCTTTAAGGGTCTGTCACTCTTCTTTTTCAAGAAATATGTCCTTAAACTAATTCGAGTTAAAGTAATCGATTCAGAACTCGATAGAATAATTGACACAAATATAAACTCCCTATATATATATAGATATATATTGGCAACAAGAAACGTTTCGAGCCGTAATATGTTAGTTTTTTCCACTACCATTCCAACTATGCGACTTAAAGCTGGCAAAAGTATACTGATTCAATAAAATCGGTCCCCTTGTCTCAATTTTGGGTGTACAACGTAAAACTATACACTTGTTTAGGAAAATTAGTTGTAAATGTCGTGGGATAATTCTGTATATCTAACAGTGTTATTAGATCAGATCGGTTGGACCGTGAACCGAGATCTCAATTGATTCAGTTCTTGAATTGAACCACTTAAATAGTTAAATTGGAACAAAACCGCTAAATCAGCCACTTTTTGACATAAACGATGAACCGAACAGTTCTATTGTATTTTTCATAAAAACCCTAAAATCTCTAATTTTGCCCTAAATTCAATTGATCTCCAACTTCTTCTTCACTCAGGCACAGTGGCAGATTCATATCAGACCAACCTAACAGAGTTCAATCGATTTTTCTTCTTTTTGTTCAATTGATTCTTCCCATTCGCAGTGACAAACAAGCAGAGGGATTTAGTCTGATCGAGCAACTCCTTCTCCACTCGATCTCTCTTTGCTCAGACTTCACAGGTCACAGCTTTGGTCAGTGATCCTTTAGGCTTCACAGCTTCGATCCTTCAAGCTTTTTCACTCTTTCTCTTTCGGGCTTCAACTCAGTCCTCTCTCTCTCTCTCTCTCTCTCAATATGTAGTTAATTAAGTTGTTAACTGTTTTTTTTTTTACCAGAATTGTTAACTACTGTTAAGTTAAGTAATGTTAAGAAGTATGTTTTTTAGTATTCTTGTCAACTCATGTTAAAAACAAAATTTTCTTAATAGTGTTTTTCATTTTTACACATGTATTTTTTTTATACTTAATTAATTTATGGTAAATTATATACATTAGGGACATGTTTTATATTTTTGTTAGCTAAATTATTATATTTTATATATATTTTTTATTTTTTTATTATTCGACCAATCCTTCCAATTGACCAAATGATTGAACCAATAAACTATTGACCCAGTCTCTTTACCGAATCAATGTTCGATCCAATTTTGATAACTATAGTATCTAGAGTTTAAACTAAAACTACAACATGAAAGATGTTGAGATGTCTCCTCGTCATCTGAAAAAGAAAAGAATGCCTCTTGAGCGATAAATATAAAAAAACAAATGATAATTGTAGACAATTTTATCAAATGTCGATGGTTAACCATTTGACAGAGAAATGATAAAGTATTTTGGTTAACCACCTTATTTTGAATTCCATTTGTAATTCCGTCTATTATCCAATAAAAAAATTTAAAACTTATTTACCACTTATCATAGGGATTTTTATCTCGTATGAATACCCTAATCTCGGCGCGAATAATCAGCTTTTAATCAGACCAAAAAGGGGACTAGTCGAGATACACATAAACTGATCCGGACACTTCTGACAGTTGGAAAAAAAAGGTTGAACCAAAAAAAAAATTTTCAAAAAGTTTCTTCCCCGAAACAGTATATGGTGATTTACACTTTCATAAAGAGATAAATTTTTCATCAATACTCTAGTCTTGACGGATGATCTGTCTCGGAGAAAGAATTAGTCCATATGTGCATAAATTTACTTGAGCACCACTGACCATTCAAAAAAGAACATGTCAACAAGTTTCTTACCCACAAACAGTGTGTAATGATTTACACTTTTTTTTTCGTCTGCCCTAATCTCATGGATCAATTAAATGTGCATATCAGAGAAAAAGATTAAAAAAAAAAAAAAAACTCAAAATGTATGCATTTTAACTTTGAAAAAATTAATAAATTAAGAAACAAATTGTGGGGGGCACACTATAGTGTGGCAGTGGGGACACCAGTCCCAGTGCAATTTTAAAAAGATTTGGGATTTAAAATTTAAAAACATATATTTTTTTAAGAAATTATCCACACTGAAATGTTTGTACATAGATCGCATATTTGTTGCCTTTTTTTAGTGAAATAAGGGTGGAGCCAGAAATTGACTCAAGGGTGGGCAATTTAACTAGTGTCGACTCTAGCATAAAAAAAATTAACGACTTTAACTTTTTATAAAGATGGCCCTATATTTTATATATGTTAATAAAATAGGGTAGATCATAAATCTAAACTCTATTAAAATTTAAATTGCTCACAAAAAAACCTTGTAAAAGCCTAATGTCAAATTTCTTTTAATATAAATGAAAAAGTCATTACTAAACGATACTAATATTTACTAAATAGTTATATTAAAGTCAATTGCTAATTACACTGGAAAAGGGTCAAAAGTTGATATATGTCTTATAAGAAGAAAAAAAATATATTACTTAATTACAACTCTTACCAAAATGAAAGACTTATTACGTCTATCTAATATTACACCTCCTAAATTAAAAATATATCCCCTATAAACCACAAAATTGCCTTAGATATAAAATTATAATGCTATCAAATAAAAATTTAAGAAATAAGAATAATAATATAACTAGAATTCAATTAAAATAAGTCAATCATCCACCTTGGACAAAAAGAGATCAGTAGTACGTTAATAACCCATGCCTATAGTCATAATTTATGTCTGAAGGTACGATGAAACATAAAATTCAAGCGTCCAAAAAATTAATTCCACTATATTAAATTTTTTTTAATATGTGTATACTATCGTATATGGATAATGTTTGAAATAAAAATTATGTTAAACTACAAATTAATCAAATATTAAATGATTGAACATGTGATAAAAACGAGTGATGTGATAATTTTAGAGGAGAAAATATGTTGAGGATAAAAATTCAAGTTGTTATGTGTTTTATTATATAGATTTATCTTCAAAATACGAATTTAGAACAAAAAGAACTCACAAATATACAAATTAAGGCCAATTCAAGGGTGGGCACAACAAATATATATATAATAAAGTACGATACAATTCAAATTTCAAAAGATTAAAAAAATAAATTTT